GTCAAGAAGTTCCTCCTAATATTGAGGTGGAATCTCTTTTTCAGTAGCTTGCATCCATTGTTCCGGGTCCTGTTCTCTGGACCAGCAGAAAACAAGCTTGTTCCCTCCTCAATATGACATCCCTTCAAATATTTAAACAGAGCTATCATATCCCCTCTTAACTGTCTCTTCTCTAGGCTAAACATACCCAGCTCCCTAAGTCGTTCCTCATACAGCATAGTTTCCAGATCCTTCGCCATTTTAGTCACCCTCCTCTCGACACGCTCCAGTTTTCTTCACAAGTTTGATTCACAAGACAGTGGAACCACAGCCATTGGGCAGTGAGACTGAGGCTAGTGGTGGCCCAGTGTTTCACCCAGAAGACTTTTTCATCAGCTGCCAATAGACTGTGGTATGATCTGCTGGGAGAGATACAACAGCTAAATATGCTGTCTGAGTTTAAAAGATCTATCTTTTCTGGCAGGCCTACTCAGTTGATTGTAATTTATACTGGATGATTTTAATGTGTCCTTAACAGTGTTTAAATGATTTTATGTGGTTTAATCTATGCTGTAGCCCACCTCAAGCCTCGGGGAAAGACTGGTAAGAAATAAAATTATTGTTATTGTTGTTATTATCATTATTATTGGTAAGGACCAGTGGCAAGGGCTGCATTCCCTAAAGCAGCTTCTTCCAGTGAGGTACAGAATATATTGCTAGTCTAGTTTTAGAGGGATACTGAACTCCCAATTTCAGCAACTTCTCTCCATAGAATAGCAGAGGAAGAAACCATCTTGTCTTGGGCCAGATCTGCCAGGCATTTGGACACACCAGAAGCATTCCCACAAGTTCATTACCAGGAGAAGGCCATATCCACACTTCCCCAGCAAGTGAAGGAAGCATCTTGCTTCCTCAGACAGGAGCCACAGGTGGCCTTGTTCTGAGTGAATGAGTCTGACAGAAAATTCCGGATGTGAACAACAGGGCCAGAGCTCCACCCATCCCAGTGAATTGGGGCTCTGGAGTCCAATGGAAAGTGAGCAATCTAAGCCTCCTCTAGCAATTAGAGCCCCTGTGGGTGAAAAAAGGGACCCTCTGGCACATGAAATAGCCCAGCAGGAAGTGGGCCAGCCCTGAGGCTAAGGACACCAATAAAGGCTTCCAGGATTTTACAAAGAGATGGAAAGATGACACACCTGTATAATGTTTGACGCTGCAGCAAAAATATCCAATGTGATTCTAGGCTGCATCAAAAGGAATACAGCATCTAGATCAAGGGAAGTCTGCCTGCTGCCTCGCCTTTTTAAGGGTCTCATTGGAGGAACATTTAGAGAGTGGGTGGTCGGTTTGACTTTGGGCATCAAGAGGTGTGGTGTATGTTTGTGTGACCTGCATGCATGTTGGCAAAACATTTTTTAAATTGTAAATTTGAGTCTACAAACGAGAGAGAGTGAGAGCAAGAGGCAGATGCACATTCCATCCCAAAACCAGCCAGACTCAAACCCAGAAAGGATGAATGCAAGAAGCAGTACCTCAGAGAGACATGTGACCCCGCTCTTGCCTTTGTGTTGCTTGGGTTGCTCTTATTGTTTGTGGAGTGTATCTGTACTGCAGAAATAAAACAGTTTGACACCACTTTTACTGCCATGACTCAATACTATGGAATATTTGGATTTGTAGTTTAGTGAGCTATTTAGCCTTCCTTGTTCTGGTGCCCCACCAAACTAAAAATTCCCAGATTCCATTGCACTGAGCCATGGAAGCCATGGTGTCAAACTGCTTTATTTCTGCAATGTGGCAGCAGACTGGTGTTGGTGCTGCTGCCTAGGCCCTGGAATCGCAGAAATCCACACTGCCAATGGAAGAATACCTATGCCATTCAAGATGGCTGCTGTTGCTTCTCTCTCTCATGTTTGTTGTTCCCTGTAAATCCCCCTTCCCACTTGGCAGCTGTTTCTAGTGCCTCCCCATGATAGCGCTTCTTGCATGTGGATGCACATTGTGAACGAATGCTGCTCTTCCTGCCTCTCTTCCTTCTGACCAGACATGCAAAATTTCTTGCACTCCCCTCTTGATATTGCATCCCAGAGTTTGAAACCATTGTCTTAGAGGGCAGGCAGGTCTGCCTTTTTATAAGGGAAATCACTATCTGGGGGTGGCAAAGTTTGTCTCTTATAGGGCTGGCAGGTATGCCTCATTATACAGAATAAAATATTTTAAGACTGGAAAACTTTTTACTTTTTCTTAATTGAACATGATACCAAGAATTCCTATATTTTGGGAAGTGGGCCCTTCATAAAAACAGATTATGTGTGCATTGTATAATTGAGCAATGTTAACAATGGTCAATTTTACAGAGAAATACATGGCTTAGTGAACTGAAATCAACATTTTCATTTGCTATTTAAGTAGAACCTTGTTAATAACTACTTCACAATTGTCAGCACTACATGTCCTGAAGTTCAACTGTCCCTTCTTACTGGTTTGAAAACCAAGCAACACTAGCAGCAGTCTCAGGGTGGGCTTTAGAGACTTGATAAATTTCTAGTAAAAACCAAGAGTAAACCATGCGTAAAAGCAAGCAAGGAAGCAAGTGGTACAAGGACAAAAAAGAAAGCCAAATTCTATCCTACCTTACAGTGAGGAATTATTTTGTCATTCATCAAAAGATGTTTCTTGGACGGTTCCTAGGGATTATTCTCAGGAAAGTGTGTACTGGAGTTCAGTCTAAAGGTGGGATCTCAACTTAGTCAGACCTCCTGAAAAGAGAGGGACAATCAGTCTCGTTGTGGTTTTCACAGTATTAAAATAATTCAAACCTTCAGTTAAAAGAATAAAATGCAGTAAAAAAGATGAAAAGCTATTAAAACCAGTTCAGTTTACAATTTAAAAAACTGGAGTATGTTCAGAGGAGGACAACCAAAATGGTGAAAGGTCTGGAAGCCGTGGCCTATGAGGAAAGACTTGGGGAGCTGGCCCCTGTTTAAATATTTGAAGGGATGTCATATTGAGAATGGAGCAAACTTGTTTTCTGCTGCTTGAGAATAGGATACAGAGCAATGGATTCAAACTATAGGAAAAGAGATTCTACATTAGGATAAACTTCCTGACAGTAAGAGCTGTTTGACAGTGGAATACACTCCCTCAGAGTATGGTGGTCTCCTTCTTTGGAGGTCTTTAAACAAAGGCTGGATGGCTGTCAGGGGTGCTTTGATTGTGAATTCCTGCATGGCAGAATGGGGTTGAACTGGATGACCCTTGTGGTCTCTTCCAATTCTGTGATTCTATGAGTACACCACCCCCTATCCCTTTCTGTTGGAATATATTCCTTCTTCTGTTCCTTCTTAGACAGGGATTTCCCCCTCTCTTTCTTATTGGAGACAGTTTAACAGCTCTCTCTGAAGATTCTGAACTGTTGACAACAGTCCGTTGGTCATCTCATCTTCCTGCTATCTAAAAGATGGTGAGATTTATCTCTCTTTACCCAAACCATCTCCAGTTACATTAGGTTTTAGTTATTTTTATGTAAACATTTATCAAAGCCATTATTGTTTGTTTTTAAACTACAAACTGCATGTGTTTTTTTTTTTTTGAGTTAGTATTTATTCTTTAGGAAGACAGATTTAAAATAACAGTCTGACCCACGCTTCTGTTGTTCTGCTAATGAAAGTTAGACTCTAACAAGTTTAACTTTCATACTGGTGTATTTTTGTTTCCTTTAAAAAAGGTAACACCCTGGAAAACTAAAATTGTACCCCACACATTCTTTTTTTAAAAAAAGAAAAAGAAATTAAAAGCCTGTCTGAATACAAAGGGTTTTGCCTGCTGAGAGAAAGACATCAGCGAGGAAGTCATTCTAGTCTCCTTGGGAAGAGACTTCCAGAGTCCAGAGGTAGCCTTCCTTTCTCTTGTTCCCACCAACTCTGCTTGAGACAGTGGTGGGACTCAAAGAAAGGCCAGGTATTATTAGCTGCTGGAGTGTGTGTGTGTGGAATTGCTGTTATCACCATCTCCTTGTGGTCTCTTCCAGTCTCTTATGGGCTTCCCAGGGGGAAATCTCAATGGGTTCCATGTGGGAAGAACTGGGAGGACATTCAGAAGTGGCTCTCTTTTGCTCTTACATTCATTTTCTAACGTTAAATGTGCAAAGGCAGGGAATGTCTGAGCAGCTGAGGGAGAGGCATCCCTCCCTTCCTGCCTCCCATCCATTCTTGACCTCTAGAGCTCAGCTTCTGTAGGAAGAAAGTAGAAGTCAGACCCCATGAAATCAAATCCCATTCAACCCACCCTGGCATCAGATGGCATGCATGAAATCTATGTCATAGGGTCTGACTTTTACTTAGATCCCTCCTGAAGGCAAAGAGGAGCCTGAGCAGTTTCACCCCCACCTCCACCCCCAAACTGCCTGAGCTGAACGTACCACTTTTCTGCTCCAAGGGCCACAAAGAGGGGCTGGGGGAGGGATCTCCTCCTGTGGCCCCCAACCCACCCAAAGCAGGGCATCTCTTCCCACTTGGCTGCCCTGCCCTTCCCCCCATTGCCAGGTTCTCCTTGTGCCCTCCTCCCATTGTATGTGTCTGTGGGGCTGTTTTCAGGAAGGAGGAAGGGAGTTTTGGCAGCAGCAGAAGGGTCTGGATGGCTAGGAAAGGAGGGGGGGGGCCCTTCCTTTCCAAAGGTGGCCTACAGGAACCAGGACCCTCCCTAGCTGGGGGGAGGGGAGGGGGGAGAGCTCCTCTTCCTCCTCCCCCAGCTGTCCCCCCATTAAGCACAATATAGAGCCCTCTTGCTTCTTTCCCCCAAATGCTACTCGCCACTTCTTCCTCTCCTGCCTGTTCCCCCCACTGGTCATCTCTCCTTCTCTTTCCTCCCCCACAAAGCCCAATATGCCCTCTGCCCTCTCCCTCCAAATGCTGCCTTCTTCCTCCTCCTCTCCCGCCTGCTCCACCCACTGGACCTCCCTCCCTCTCCCTCCTATCTCCCATAAGATCCCAATTTATAGTTCCCCTTCCTCCTCCCCAAGAGCCAAGGTGGTGTAGTGGTTTGAGCATTGGACAATGGCCTTGGCAGGCCAGGGTTCGAATCCCGTCTTGGCCATGGAAACCGACTGGGTGACCTTGGGCAGGTCACACTCTCTCAGCCTCAGGAGAAGGCAATGGCAAAGCCACCTCTGAACAAATTCTGCCAAGAAAAAAGTGTGATATTTTTCCTCCTAGGGCCATCATACCTTGGAAAGGACTTGAAG